AGGGATAAGTGGGGGCTACAGTACCTCAAATGTTATTTAAGGGTTTCATCTAGAGTTTTGATATCTTATATGTATGTATTTAGTATCCATAACATCATTTTTTAGGAAAGGATTTTCTTTGTCTTTTGTTCTTTGATTAACATGACAGACAGCAGTAGGAATATTGGACTGCGGTCCCTTTAAGAGTTTATCCACGGACCCAATATACTGTTACACAACATGCGTTCTCTTTCTCAACTATTTAACGTTCCAAACTGACTGTGTTTAACTGGATACTCGCAAAGACGGGCATTTTGACATAATTTTGTATGTATTTGAACGTTTTAGCGCAGTTAGCCACTCATTTTGGTATTTGTGGCTCACAAGCTGTTTGAAACTGAGCGTGGATTGTGCGCTCCACTAATATAGATCAGTGGTGGTGCACGCGCGTTTGGTGTAAGCGCGAAACCTGCGGGAATGACTAAAATAATGCGCAATACAAGCACTATTTAACCGGAGCAAATGAGACATGTGTGAGAGAGAAGGGGTCGTCGGAGAGAAGAGAACGAGAACGCGCGGCTGACGTTATTACCTGTGCCGCTGATAACAAAACGGATCGGCTCGGAATCAGAAAGAAGTGAGACTGATCGGCCGGTCACCGATCCGGGCCGATCATGAGGAAAATCGGCCGATTCCGATCCCTGGCCGATCGATCGGTGCATCTCTAAAACAAAGTCATTCTGTGATTAGTTTGTCCTACCTCCAGATGTGTAGAGGACAGGAGCAGGCAACAGAAAGTCCATCTTATCCTTCAGATCATCCTCATTTTCCTTCTCCCATTGAGATCCCACTTGTTTCCATAAGTCCTCAGCAAGAGACCTGAATGAATTTATTTATAATCACAAAATCATACATTTTCATACATACATTTTGTATAAAGAAAAGACAAATTTTTTTAATCAAAATAGATTTTTTCAAAGAAACTGATTCTTATATATTGCAAGGATGCATTATTTACATTTAGTCATTTAGCAGACTCTTTTATCCAAATTATATTGTTATTGTTAAATATTATATTGTTCAAAAGTGACAGTAAAGACATTTATAATGTTACAAAAGATTTATTTATGTTATCAAATAAATGCTGATCTTTTGAACGTTCTATTTATCAAAGAATTTTGAAAAAAAGTAGATTATGGTTTCCACAAAAATACGATGCAGCACAACTGTTTTCAACATTGATAATTATAAGAAAGGTTTCTTGAGCAGCAAATCAGCATATTAGAATGATTTCTGAAGGATCATGTGACACCGAAGACTGCTGAAAATTCAGCTTTAACATCACAGGAATAAATTACGTTTTAAAATAGAAAACAGTTTTTACTACTTTTTACTCTGTATTTTTGATTTAATAAATGCAGCCAAACCCTAAACTTTTAATGACAGTAAATACATTTAAATGAATTTTACTAGTTTTCATGACTTTAAAAGGCCTGGAAAACAATGTTATTTCCATGATTGTGCATTTGTTTTGACCTGATTTCAGGGATCTCATCGCTGAGGCTGCTCAGAAGCAGTGGGATGAGCTTGTGGAAGTAGGAATATCGGTCCGGCAGACGGAGAAGCCAATCACCCACGACTATAGTAACAGCTTTCCTCACCTGAACAGATTAGCACAAAAATAAACCATTCCCATGTGGAAAAAACACCACCAATGTGCCTTGTAAGACAGCAAGCATATTTCATATTTAGCAGAAGAATTTCTTGGAAGGATACCAAAGATAAGCCATTTATTAAATAACGCATCAATCAAGAACTTTCTTTCATTTGATTTCTTTGTTATTCATTGATTTTTCAGCGAAGCGGCTGCCAGCTTACCCGTGGAGAGTCGTCAAACAATCTCTGTGCCAAGTGGGACAAAACGTCATCTACGTTCTTGCCTGTGCTGTGCTGAATGACTGCGCCAATGGCCTGTGTCACAGAAACTCTCACTTGAGAATGCTGGTGAGAAATCGTCTGCAGCAGGGGCTTCAGAACACTCTCAGCCTGCAGGTGGAAATGATCTGAGCAAAGAGAGACAGATAGACAGACAGACAGACAGACAGACAGATAGATAGATAGATAGATAAATGATAAATAGATAGATAGATAGACAGATAGATAGACAGATAAATAGATAGATAGATAGATAGATAGATAGATAAAGGTCGAGTAATGTATCTGCTTGGATCCATTATACAGGAATTAAGTGGCAAGCAGGGCTTAGATGGGTTGCTGGTTGTCATGATAACATGGTCAGACTGATGCCCCTGACCAAAATTAACGCCAAATATGAGTAAAAAAAATTGTTGGCGAGTATATTTATTAATTCTTACAATACCTGGGAATGTGATATGGTTTCCCTGCAGTTTTCCACCAAAATAAATGCTCAATGGTTTAATGTTTGAAAGCAAAGAAAAAAATAACCATAAATATTAGTATTGTAATTTTACTGTTGTCATATGAAATAATAATAATAATTATTATTATTATTACTACAGTTACTTATACAGTCACACTTACTGTTACAATTCTTCTATGCTTGTAATTTGTTTATTTCCTATGCTGATTTACTCACCTACAAAGTCACTCCAATCATTTTTCTTTTTCCAAATAGAGCTATTCAAGTCATCTGGTGATTTTTTTTTCATATCGCACATACATCACAGAAAAACAAAATATCGCAATGTTTTTTCCAACATCGTGTAGCCCTAATATATATATTAGAATAAAATACCACAACAACTAACAACACATCTAAGGAAACAACACATCTAAAACCACAGGGAAAATTCTCTTTTAAAATGCTTTTCTTTTGTTGAAAACTGATTTCTAAACTTGGGTAGATGTTTGGCACATGTTGCATAAACCAAATCACAATCTCAGGTATTGTTAGAATTAATAAATATACTCGCCAACACTTTTTACTCTCATTTGGCCGAGTGTTAATTTTAGGTCTTGGTCAGGGTCATCAGTCTGGCCTTGTTACCGTGACAACCAACAACCCATCTAAGCCAAAGTCTATGTCTAAGATCAGTTTGCCACTTAACTTCTGTATAATGAAACCAAACTGACATGATATTACCTTTATTTTTTTTTTTCCTATATACTGTATCTCAACTGTCTTTTAAAGAATATCAACAGCTTGAGGGCCACACTTACCAGGAATGCTCTGTGCAACACTGATGGCACATTTACAGCTCTCTTTCTTGACTTCAGGAAAGGGATCTGTGATGGTTCTCTGCAGGACCTTGATCATGTCATCCAGGTAGGGGGCCAGCTGCCTGCCGCACACCTCCTCCAGCACCAGAGATAGCGTCTCCATCAGAGCCAGCCTGAGCTCCTCCGCCGGCTCCAGGATCTCCTTCCCGCCGAGCCTCTGCGCCAGCGCGGGCATGAGGTAGGGCAGAGCGTCTTCTGGTCTGGGGACAGCTCTGATAAAGCCCGTGAGGATCTGAACCGCTGTGTCTCTGCACGTCTCCGCAGGATCTGACAGACATTTCAGCAGCGCCTTCAGCAAGCCGGCGAAAAGCTCCTGCAGCGCGCCGCTGGACAAGCGCTGCTCGACGGTTTCTCTCTTCACCGCTTCTAGAGCTCGTCTTCTCGCGCTTTTGTTGTCGTCGTTTAGACAGTTCAAATGGCGAGCCAGAGATTTTAAAACATCCGCTGCAGCTCGCTCATCGCTGGCGGTCGCCATTGCTGCTTCACGTGTATGTTTGTTGTTGAGGGAGACTGGTCGTCATGGCGATCGTTGCCACTACGACTGTAGATTGCGTCTGCTTAGATTGCTTTACGGTAGATGTTCATTCAAAACAGCTCTACTTTATTTTACTTCGAGTCCATGATCAGAACAAGATTTTTTTTCCACAAAGAAAAAAAATAACAAGAGAGGGTTCAATAATAATACACATACAGAAAACATACAACCCTTTTCAAAACAAATATGAGCGTATGTGTGTGTATATGCAACATATACTTTTTTTAATCTCTATTTTATTTTATCACTATTATTTATCATATATACAGTATATATGTATATGTATGTATGTACGTGTATGTATATATATATATATATATATGTGTGTGTGTGTGTGTGTTTTTAATTTTCATTATTATTATTATTATTATTTATGATTATAATAATAATCATTATTATTATTATTAAATGAATATTAATATTATTTTCAATATTTTTTTATTTTTAATATTATGTGTGCAACATATATATACATATATATATATATGTGTGTGTGTGTGTGTGTGTATATATATATATATATATATATATATATATATATATATATATATATATATATATATATATATATATATATATATATATATATATATATATATATATATATATATATATATATATATATATATATATATATATATATATATATATATATATATATATATATATATATATATATATATATATATATATATATATATATATATATATATGTGAGTGTGTGTGTGTGTGTACACATATAGTTTTCAATACCATTAAATAAATAAATAAATAGTATATTGACAAAGCCATAAAAGATGAAGCACATGAGAACGATTTCTAATTAGATGGTGGGTATCATACATACGGATTTAAACAAAATAAGTATTTATTAGATTTTTTTGTGTTTGACAATAACACTAATCTTGCCTCCATGCAATTTGAATAATACATGAATAATGTAAGAAAAATCTGCTTATTATTTCCTAATCATGCATTTTTAATGTTCCATAGCTGCTCATTTGGGGAAAAAAGATCTGACATAAGCACAGTCATCTGTGCATATAAATGTGCTCAGTCACAAAACATCACTGTTTGCAGAGGTCAGCTCTGTCATCTACAGCATGAGAAAGCATGCGTGCTATTCTGGGTGACGCACAGACCCACAATGACGCTGATTGGCTGCATCAGCGTATTATGGAAAATAAATAAATAACTCTAAAATAAAACATAACAGTTTCAACCCACCAACATCTGCATAACAGTTAAAAGTCTTTTCTGATCTTTTAAATTACGTATTTCATTGTAGACCATTAATGTCAGCGTCCAATCGGGAGACGGATTGACGTCATAGCGCTCGCGAGCAGCAGGACCAAACAAGCAACATCTCAGAGCGCGAGCCCTGCATCTCCGCCTCGTAACGGTAAGCCAAATCAACGGTAAATACACCGACACGCGACTGTTTTTAGCTTAATATACCAACAGACGCGGTTTTCAGGATATTAAAGGTCTAAACTCATTCACACACCGCATAGGTTTGTATTTAGAAGCGAATAAGCGATGATAAAAGCGTAAACAGGTGATCACAGAGTGATGCTCCGCCGACACACCGACGCGTCGTTTATCACGCGCGACTGAATGCGGTACCGGTTTCGTGAACATATACGTCGAAATTGAGGATTGATGCGACAGTTGCCAGTGATCTTTAAACGGTTGATGTGAATCAATGGCGGAAGTGAAATGTAAATATGTAACATACAGAAGAATGGCCTGTGTCATCATCATCATCACTATGATTTAGTCATAATGTCATGTCTGTCTATCTATCTATCTATCTATCTATCTATCTGTCTGTCTGTCTATCTATCTATCTATCTGTCTGTCTGTCTGTCTGTCTGTCTATCTAGGCACTGTGTTTTGTGTTTTTGCAATAAATAAATGATTGATTGACAGACAGATACATGCATATTGAATATATTGTGGATTTCATTAGTCAGGCAGCAGGCTAGCTTATCAACTGAGAGAACAAGTTACACAGACGTAAGAACGAATATCTCTTCTCTTCCCCCCTCCTTCACTCTTTTCTCCTGCAGCAGTGATAGAAGATAAGATGGCCACCTCCTCCTCCAATCTGGAAGAAGACGAAAGTCTGAAAGGCTGCGAGGTTTTCGTGCAGAAACACAACATCCAGCAGATCCTCAAAGAGTGCATCGTCAACCTGTGCATCGCCAAGCCCGAGCGGCCTATGAAGTTCCTGCGGGAGCACTTCGAGAAGCTGGAGAAGGTGCGTTACTCTTACTGTATTTGCTCTGCTGCTGGTTGTGTTTGTATAAGTTATGCATTTGCATCGGAAAGTGTGATGGTTAGGGATCTGGACTGCTGGCGTAAAGTTGTCGCTTCATTCCCATGCAACTGGAGAAGCCGGAGCTGGAGAGTTATTGAGATCATTGCCGTCCCATTTGGCCTGGCACTTAACCTCAGGATGCTCCGGGGGGGATTGTTCCTGTAATGAATGTACTGTATATTGCTTTGGAAAAAAGTCTGGCTGAATGCACTGCGATACAGTGTTAATGAATGTATTCTCCTTCCCTCAAACATCCACGATCATTAACTGTCATTGTGTTAGCACTCATAGTGAGGTTCTTTATGTGTCTTAATTATTGGCAAGTGAAGCACAATAGATAGATACCAAACTTGTGAGAAATAATTGCATGTTTTAGAATGAGAAATCGTTGGTTTCTATAACGCTTCTTTTCCTGGTGCAGCTGCAGAGCGAGTGAACTGAGTGGACGGTACACTTTATCAGGATCTGTGAAAAATCTATGAAGTTCATTTGCAGGTTATAAAATGGATTTTGGATATAGTAGGGCTTTTATAGATTTATAGCAACTGGGCAATACAACCTGTTAAACACATTTATTTGTATGTTGAATCAACAGTAAATCTAAACCTTTTTGACTCCAAGGCCTCACATTGAAAAAAATAAAAATAAATATATATACAGTTTTAGAATAATGTTTGTAGAATAATGAGTTTTTGCTGTATTCTTTTATTTTTAGTGTAGCTGGTTAAATTAAATTTTAAGAAGTATTTAGCACACCTTTTCCATGTTTCATATGTTTTGATTATTCATTAAGACAATATCTGTTAAACTCTAGGCTGATTAGTAGGCCTGTTAGCTAAGGCAATTATTAATGTTATGATATTATTTATCTATATGTCAACTAGGCAATATCTGGCCGTTTTGAAATTGGCATCAACCGATAAAGTGTCCTCTTACTCTGTTACACAGAGGTTAGCCAATCGCATAAATAAAAAATAAAATGCTGCACAAATATAGAATATGTCCCTTTTTAGTCCAAAAATGAAATATTTTGAAAAATGTTATGCTATTTCATTATGCTTTTGATTATTAGACAGTATCTGCTTAAACCATATTTATTTATTGTGAGATATTGTTCCAATCTAAAAGGACTGTTTTGTATTTAAATATATTTTAGTTTAGCAATGAATCATTCAAGTCAATGTTGAAAACAATTTGATTTATCATCACTTTTGGTCAATTTAATGCATCCTTGCTCAAAAAACAAAACAAAACAAAAAACACTGAACTCAAACAGTAGTGTTCTTTATGTAAGAGGAACTTTAATGAGCCACAATTGTTAAGAACTAGAATCAACATTCCCGTTCCCCCTCAATAAATAATTAGGAGGCATGCTGATGCTTTTTGATGTTGTTGCCCAATCTCAGACTCTGTGTACCGACCGTATGAAAGTCACAGCAGTCATTCGTTTAGCTGGAGGTGCCAGTAACCTCATCCACACTCAGCAGCAACTAAACATCTTCTTTGATCATGTGCTCCAGGAACAACAGGCTTTTTCAGTCTGGCAGACGCTTTGGGACTCGGGCTTTTGTTAGGAATGTGTTTCTGCTGAGCTACTGTTGGTTTAGGTAGAGCATCAAACAGCCGAAGGGATTGTGTATTCATAAGACACGATCAGATGGGCTGAGACTGAACGCAGCACAAGACGTCTGTCCTTGTCTTCTCCTCATGATGAGAACTTGTGTTTTGGGGGTTATTTAGTGTCATCAGAGATTGAGCCGCTGGGTGAACGATGTTTACTGACCCACTTGCATTTTAGTCATAGATGGGGTTTAATTGCTCACACATTCTCTCTGTCTGGCACCTTCTGTTCATTTAGAAAGATGAAATTCCACAGGCTGCTAAAGGATATTCACCCTCAACTCTATGTTTGTCCTCTGTTGTGTCTATAAAAACTGTGCCGGATTAAAATCTTTATGTAGGGCAGAAGGCAACATGAGGGTGAGCAAATGATTACAGGATTTTCGTTTTTTTTTTAATGTACTGAATCTGATGATACTTAGGGATGCAAGAGCATTAGTGATAGATCTTCATGTCAGCTAGACCAATATTTGGTCGAATTGAGATTAGCATCAGCCAATAACTTGTCCTCTTGCTCATGTACCAGTTGCATACTAATGCCAGTATATGGAGGTTAGCCAGCCAATGATATAAATAGAAATAAAATGTTGCACAAATGTAAAATAGGACCCCTTTTAGCCCAAACATACACTGCCATTCAAAAGTTTGGTGCCTTTTTTTATTTACTTTTTTTATTATTTAAGATTTTCTTTCTTTTTATTTAAATACTTTGATATATGAATACTTTTATCTAGCAAGGGCACTTTAAATTGACCAAAAGTGACTGTATTGACATTTAGAATTTTTCGAAAGATTTGTATTTCAAATAAATGCCTCGAAGAATCCTGAAAAAAAAACTCTTTCCACAAAAAAAATATGAAGCAGCACAACTATTAATAATAAATGTTTCGTGAGCAGCAAAGCAGCATACTGTATTGACCCCAAACATTTGAATGGTTGAGTAGATTAGGCCTATATCTGCACTTTTACAGCACTTTTACAGTATTCCTTTTGTTAGAAATATATGTGGATTAAGTTTTTTTTTTTTTTTTTTTTGTGCAGGGAGATCCAATTTACAAATGATTCTTTCATTAGAACTGATTCTTTTTTATGATTCGGTCAAACTGATTCACAAAGCATTTATTGATGACTTTGTTCAGTTTAGAAGTTTTTAATATTGGGGGCATTATTGTTGATGAATAAATAAATATCTTTATAACGAACTGTAAATGGCAGAACAGGTGAAAATCTTAAACATAGTATTAAACAGCAATTTTACTGCAATAATGGAACATAAAATGCTGTTCAGGGGATGATTCCCTGCTTTTTTAAACTGCTTCAGTGTCATCCAAATGAATCCGTTTTCAGTTTGTTGTGGCCTTCAATCCAAAACTGTCATTCAGATTTGATGATAAATCAGTATCTTTTGCAGATACTTGTGACTGTCCAACTTTTTTGGGTTGTGTGTCCTTATAATTCTAACCTATTTTGATTAAATTGTGTATGGTTACAACCTCATATACTTGAATTGTTTTGTATAGACACTAGTCTAATTTTGTTGTGTGTTTGTGATGGGTTTGCTCTCATTTTATATTTGAGTATGTGCATCGATGCATGGTTAGTCTTATACGTGTTTTCTGATTTCACAGATTTCACAGTACATTTGGACTCTTTCCGTGTTATTTCACGGTCAGGCCTGTTGATGGCTGTCTAAAGCTTTAGAGAGAGCATGTGTGTGTTTTGTGTGCATTTGTGTGTGTGTGTGGCATGTGCCCAGCTGTTCCTTTGCATCTGCCTGCCTTCACTTTGGTATTTGTGCCTTGGGATGTTTCAGAGGGTGACGTTTATGCCGTTTTACAAACACTTTATCCTTTTATATCCTGTAAAAGTTTTAATTGTGGAATTAACAGACTGATATCAGATTTATAAGGGCCAGAATGTCATAGAGCAGAGGTGCCAAACCTTTTACGACAAAAGGCCACAAGTCAAACTTGATTGAGAGCTGTGGAATGAAAGTAAATGTTGCATAATATCCAATTGTATTATATTAAAATGTACATTTCTTGAAAAAAGAAATGGATTCTCTACATTTCAATGGACAAATAAAACAAAAAATTGTAAAACAAAAAGATAAATTAGGATAAATTATAATATTATATTTTCTTGTATTTCCTATTTCCCCCCCTCCCACTCTTGTGATATAACTTTAGCCTGCGGGCCCTAGTTCGGGCGTCTCTGCCATAGAAAATTTGCCATAGAGAATGACTTAGCCAAGTAATCAACCACATAGAAATGCACTAAAATGTAATATTCAGTGACAAAGTGACATTTTTGTGTCAAATCTTATTTACCCTATATATAGTGCTATCGGTTACTAATTAATTGTGCATTTTTTTGTAATTAACCATGATTAATCGCACCTAATGTTAAAATTTGTAATCATAATAGTATTTTCACACTGAATCTCCAAATTAATTTAGAAACAACATAAAGACCGTATATTTTAATTGTATATTTGTTTAATGGCATCGAATTACTGATACCTCTGTTGCAGATAAAATGAGTAGATATAGCCATTCAACTTTAGTCAAAATTGTGCCATCATTTGTAACATCTAATTAGCCTAAACTGTTACAGAACATTAAAAATATTATAACAATCTTCACATGAATCCACTATAATACATTTAGCTGTGGCATTTTGCATAAAGTGTTTAGCTGTCAGTTTATTTTGCACATTTATTTTCCCAATAAATGACTAGCTAAAACATTTGGCTATTGTATAAATGAATATATGTATGTATGTATGTGTATATATAATATATACTATCAGGGGTCTGTGTTTTTCTGTCCACCTATATATGCAGTGAATGTACAGTGCAGTAAGACTGAGTGTACCCTCCCTGACTAGTACACATCTTGTTGTGTCACACACACACATCGTTTGTGCTGTGGCACGCAGCTTTATTGTTCTTCCCTCTTTCATACGGGAATCTTTCACTGTCTCTCTTTCGCTCTGCCAGTGAAATCTCAGTGCTGTTGTGTCTGCTTTCTGTGCTCACAGTAGGTTTCAGTCTTTTAGATTTTATGATCTGTAATCGTGATTTGTAATGGTAGTTTCTTTCACCCTCTTAGCGTCCACTGTTTTAACTCTGCACAAGTTTTTGTGTGTCCTGTGCGATCCAGATGGTCACAACCCTCTTGATGTTTTCAGATGGATGTTTAATCTTACGTATCATTCACTTCCTCTCTCCACAGGAAGAATGCAAGCAGATCATGGCCCGTCAGAAGTCCAACTCGCAGTCGGACTCTCACGATGATGAAGTGTCTCCTCCTCCTCCAAACCCGGTGGTGAAGGCCCGGCGCCGGAGAGGTGGGGTCAGCGCCGAGGTCTACACAGAGGAGGATGCCGTCAGCTATGTCAGAAAGGTTAGAAAAGCAGATACAGGTTGGAATATTTAGCCAGTGTAGCTTTAAATAAAACTGCAGTTAAATTTGCATTATTTTCAGGTACACTATTTAGTTTTGTCTCAGTCGCCCCATCACTAATAGGCCAGAGTCACTGCTGTGTTTTCACATTAGTTTTTCTCTATATGAGATATGGCTTTTCTGAGTGAAACAGAATATTCAGCAGGAAATGATGCGGGATTGGATGTGGGATTTGATTGGATGGTTAGGCTTATTATATTAATGGTTAATATTGTTTTCCTTTTCTGCTTAGGATAACATGTACTGATGAAGTGTACACAATAATAGGAACATTAAGCATGTAAATAAGGTTGACTGTTATTTTAGTATTATTTATCATTATTTTATACAATTATAATATTTATTATTATTTTTAATTAGCTTTTTAATTTATTTATTATATTATATATTTTAATATTTTCATTTTAATTGAATTTAGTTTAAAATAATTAAAACGTAATTATTTTAGTTTTTTTGTAGTCATTTTATTACATTTTTCAAATATTTGTATTTAGCTTTAATTAATTTTTTTATTTAAGTTTTAGTAGTTTTAGTACTTTAGTAATTTTAGTAATTTAAACCTATATATTTCATTTAGTTGCCAAGGCATTTTTTTTACGTTTAAGGTTTTCATCAAATCATTATATATATTTATTTTATTTATTTTTTTGATTTCTCATTCATTTCAATTAACGGATCATTTTAGTAACAATTATAGACTAATAAGGTTAATTTGGTTTTTAATAATTAGCAGTATAAGGCACAATTTGACAATTTGCTCAACAAACATGCACCATTTATGAACACGAATGAAATCCTCAAATCATCGTCTTGTTGAGGAGAACTATGCTTATAATTCTTTAAAGCAATACGAATTTTGCCTGGTATATGATAAAATGAGTTAAAGGGGGACCAGGATATCATAGAAACTTGAGAGGTTGGGATCTTTTAACTTGGGCCAGTGAGAAACCACCTACTGTAGCAACACCTCAGCAACTGCTTAGTAACATCCACAACACCCTAGGATCACAACACTCAACACTCACAAGTTATTGAGAAAATACACAGAAATTTGAAAATGCCAGTAAATACTAATAATTTGTTTTATGAGTAGTCATCTAGTAAGTGGTTTTCTTTGGCTATAGGTCATTCCAAAGGACTACAAGACAATGACCGCCCTGGCCAAAGCCATCTCTAAGAACGTGCTGTTTGCCCATCTGGATGACAATGAGAGAAGGTAAATGCACATCATCAGAGGTTGTTTGTTGACAGGTATAATAAGTATATAAGGCTACGCTCACACTTTCAGTGTTTGGAATTGACAAGCGCATTTGCTTATAGGTGTGAGGCTCGAAATTTCCTGTTCACACAGCAGCTTAAGCATCAAAGATGGTGATGTCCTAAACTGCAGACTCTTATCACATTTGACATGACAAAAGTTCAATTGATGTGTGATTTCATCTATCAAATCTTGATTAACCAACAACATTTGAGTTGCACACATACCACAAAACTGTCTGGAGTAGCTCTGGAGGAGGACAGAGACTGGATCACTGTGTGACGTGACAGACAACTAGTTGTCCAGTACAGTTTTGTTCACACATGCCTAAAACACGGTTGTAAGTCCTGATCATTTATGGGTGTGTTTTTGATTATAGAACACAGTTGTCACTCATGTAAACAACTGAAATGTGTGTGAACGCAACCGTATTAATGATTCAGATGCAGGACTGACATCCGTATTCTGCTGTGTGAACGTGGCCTAATCCACACTATAGTTCTTATTGGCCACGGACACACTGGCCAGACATTTAAATATGTGAGTGGATCCCCGTGTTCTTGAAGGTTGCTATGTCCACTTATTATAGCAATCAGGTGCAAATCGTGATCTTTTTGTATGTGGCATATTTCCAAGATAACACATTTGGATTTAAGTTTATTATGGGCATTTTCTTATTTGTGTTTTTTTGTTTGTTTATTTGTTTTCTAGCAAGATCTGGCAACACTGTGTCAAACCTTTCCCTGTGATTTCTTGCACTGCTCATACAGAAAAGATACAAATCTGATCCGCGTTTAAATACATCATTAACAACTAGTTGTTCAGTTCGGTTCCGTACACACTGTGTAACATTTCTGTGAATGCGGTTGCCACTACCTTCATTTTTCGGGAGTCAATTGACCCTTCACAAAGACCTGCCTCCCTTCGTTACTGTTGCTATCCCCGACAAGCCATGGCGCCACACATCATGTTCTCACGCAGGGAAAAATACATCGCGGAGCAAAGAGGAAACTGACAACATGCCAACAGACAACACAGAGCAGGTTACTACTGGTATAAAACAAAGTCTCAGCTTTCAAATTTTGTCATTTTTTTAAGAAATTCAAACAATAAATACCATTCTGTGGCTCTTTAGTGTGTCATTACAGATCGCTGTGTTGCCTCAGTTCAAGCGGCACATGAACCGATCATCTCTTTCTCTTTACTAGTTATAGCACGAAATAAACATGAATGAACATCAGAAGGTATCTTGTATCTTGAACATCAGAAGGTATCTTCCAACTGCGGAAAGACATCAATATACACAATTTTTCAAGTTCATGTCCAGCGAAGTTAATCTACTCTCTTGTCTGATTTGTTTGTCGAACAAAAATGGCGGATTCGGCGTTATGATTGGTCAGACCACTTGTCAATCAAACCTGCGAACTAGGGTCATACTGTATTATGACAGCACTTTTTTTTTTAAACTTAATTTCAATATCGTGATAATACCGTATACAGTAACAAAAGCATTAGCAATTAATCGCAACATGAAAATTTTATACCGGCATATCCCTAGTCAATTCAGTTGTAAAATACGGCTGTCGCTCCCATGTTTTACTGAACTGTGTGTACAGAACAGGATGAAGCACTAAAAGGTGAAGCTGCAGTGTGTATGTGGCCATGGTGAAGTCTTATGAATGGGGTTGTGCTGTTAGCAGCTTGTTTGTTGTTGTCAGCGCTGGTCTTGTGTGTGTTTGGCAGGGTGAGGGTGTGAGTCGTGTCAAGAGGGGCTTGTGACTAGCCACTGTATTCGCTCTGTTGCTCTCGTCACCATGGCAGCCCGCGTCGAAATAAAACAAGGCATTGTGTCTGAGCGTAGTGGAAAGTGTGTTTTAATGTGGGTGTGGGGAAATAGCGTTGCTTGGATTGTTTCGTTCTGGCTTTCGAGTCTGGGAGATGCCACAAACCCTAAACAACAACGAGCAGAAAAAAGCCTCTCCCAGTCCACCAGGAATTTCGCTCAGGTTGCTCCGTCTTTGTGTACGGAATACGGTTTCATTGCTGAGGAGAATCCATTATCCATACAGATCCACCATGAAGGGAACAAACTCTCAGCTTTCTGCTTTTAAAGCCTCTATGAGAACACACGAAACGGCCCAAAACATCCCGTCTGCGCTCAGCTGGAAATTCACCACACTTCTTATCAGGCCTTCTTGCCAGGGACTGCAGCTGCGTGTTATCGTGTTTTAAGATTGATATCATTTCTTTGGCTGTTGTGAATATATCACAGTCACCATTTATCAGAATTACAGGCAAATTAGTTGGAAAAGACTGATTTTGAGCAGTGCATCATCCTAAGGCGAGGCTTACCTTGTCATTTCTCTTCTGAAAGCTCCAGAACGCTCTTCATATTTCTGACTCAGATTTGTGGAGAGCATTAATGTTGTTTCTATGGTTACGGAGTCTTTGCTCCTGGCGACGGCCCCGCACAATGTCCAATTATCTGCATATGTGTCTGTGAAACTGTCAAAGCAACAGGCTTGATGTGGTCATACCAAATATGACTCTGCGGTATCTGGTAAATGACAGGATAATGACATTATGTCAGGATCATTTCATTGTTTTATAGAATTATGTTAGTCTGACATGTTGCAGATGCATTAAGAGCAGTCTGGATTTCTCTTGACAGTGAACACTTTAATATTTTTATTAACGCCTGCTATATATTTATTGCTATATTTAAATAAATAAATAATATATATATTATACACACATACACACACACACACACACACACACACACTACTGTTAAAATTTGGGGTCAGCAAGATTTTCTGAAAGAAAGAAAGAAAGAAATGAATTGTATTCAGCACCAATGCAATAAATTTTATTATAAGACGTTGTTACAAAATATTTCTATTTCAGACATTACTCCGTTTGCGGTGCGTATTTTTTCCACGCTCATGTTAACGAATTAATAAAGCGCGCACACGGCACACCGTTGCTGTCCGGCAGTGCGTTCAGGAGCGTTGCGTCTGCAGCAGTGCAGAGATCGTTTCAGCACTATAAAAAGAAGGCTTTAAAAAGATCGGTATCGGTATCGGCAGATACTGCTTTCTGTGATCGGTGATCGGTGATCGGTCTCAAAAATCCTGATCGGAGCACCCCTAAGTTCGGTGCAAAACAAATTCTATATTTTCCTAAAATGGGCTTAATTTTCTTCATTTTTTGTCATTGCCATTATTTCCAATGGTTATTCTCATTAAAGTAAAACATTAATAAAAAGTCAGCATAAAATAAAAAACACATGACACAGTTCTTAGTGTAGTGTTATTTACTGCACTGCTGTAAGAATTCGAGGGTAAAAGTTAATAATATTAAAATATAAGTAAAATTACATATTAAATATATATCACAAAATAATTTTACAATGCTAAAAATATTTTCCTAAAATGGGCTTCATTTTCCTTATGCAAACTTTCTTTTTTTTTTGTCATTCCCTTTATTTTCAATGGTCATTCTTATTAATGTAAAACAGTAATAAAAAGTCAACATAAAATGAAACAGCAGTATGACAAACACCATAATAACACATATAGTTTTTGCATTACAGTGACGAGTAATATTATTTATTGCACTGCTGTAAGAATTTGGGGTTGATAGTTAAAATATAAAAATGTGATTAACATTACATATTGATTTAATATCACAAAATAATATTACAGTGCTAAGAATTTTAAAAAATGTGTAACCTAAATGGGCTTCATTTTCTTTATGCAAACTTTTAACTTTTTTGTCATTTAAGGGGTGAAATATGACCTGCTCTTGATGGGTTTTGTGCGGTTCATCTTATTATGGGTGTTATTTTTGGTTATATCATACTTCCTTGAATTGCTTTATTCCAATGCATATGTCTTAAACTCTCTGTTTTTTTCATCTATTTTCATCTTATTTTAATGTGTCCTTACAGTGTAATTATACATTTAAATACTGAGTAATATTAATTAACTAAATGTACTTACTATATGGTTAGGGTTTGACGTAGGGTTACTTGCATGTAATTATGCATAAATAATTGTTATTATAATAGTAAGTACATGTAACATTTAACAAGGACACCGTAAAATAAAGTGTTACCGAACATTCTCACTCTTATTTTACCCACAAACACAATTGGACTCTGAACCTTCAGAGCCTTGTTTTGCACTATCAGCGTCCTCTCTGCGGCCCCAACTCTCCCTGTCTTTGCACAGGGGCCCTGCAGCATCTCAAACAACAGAGCTTTGTGTTCTAATTAAAAGACAAAATACCAGTAATCAGCAGTAACGAGCGCTTGAGCTGCAATGAACCACAGCTACTGTACCCACAGAGACATTGACAGTCTGTTTTTGCAGACAGTGTGTTGTGGTTTTGCATACACATTTCTGCACGTACATGAAATAAGTCACCGTGTGCGTGTACGTCATGCTTTCTTGAATTAGGCTGATGAGCTTGTGGAGATTAGCATGTAAAATAATGTTTTCTTTGTGTAGCATCATCACAGCTCCAAAGCACGGGTAACATAATGCAGTCAAATGTAGTAAAAGCATGGTTAGTTTGATTTTAAACTGTTTCGATGTCTCCTGATAACTCGTAGTCGCTTTATCACGTCCAAACACATCTGTTCAGCTCCCCTTTATAATGTTAACCTGCTCTCAGCATAATGGCTATCTGGTTTCCTGCTCATATCTGATATAAACTTCACACCGTGATTGTGGGGAACAGCTGTTTCACGCACCTGCGGAGCAGACAGTACTATTAAAAATGACCTTTAAAGTAGACAGTCACGCTTTTGTAATGCTAGCTAGTGTGGCTATTGGGTTTCATATGCGGTTCGAGTAAAGAAAGAAAGGTGGATTATGAAGAACTTTGTCAAAAAAATGATTCAGCTTTTATTTAGCCAGAAACTGTTCAAATAAAAAGCTGGTAGAATTGTA